ACAAGATACTCGTGGATGTGCGTAATTTTACTCCGCTCTAACTTTCATTCTTTTAGATCTGTTGACATGGGTTTACTCTGTTGGCCTTTCAGTTAAAAAATCTACAAATTGCGCATGGTATCGAAGGATACTTGGTTGTTGTGTATCCTCACCTGAAGGGCAGGGCTGTGCTGAGTGGAGGGAGCAGCATGGGTGAAGCGTTTCTGGATATGTTTGCAGTCGACCCGAACCCAACTGGTGCTTTTCTCGACTTTGTTAAAGGTATATTGGCTGCACAGAAGGTTTCAGGGGCTGAAGAGGCGCCCCTCCCTCCGAAAAAAAGGAAACGAGCGACTACATCTTCTCAGTTATCTTTGGAGAGATGTCGGGAGGACTTAGGTATGGAAATTTTTAATCAGGGGAGGGGTGGGGGTTGTAAATTGACCAATGCTGATGAAGTTTTATAATTCATCTAGGGGGAGTCACTCGTGTACCTGGAGGGAAAGATGTTGATCATTTACATGCGGTTCGGGAGAAGTTGAAATATGCTCTGTGTATGTCGATTCTATTCTTCTCGTTCATCCAGCTACCGTTGCTTCTCGTTCATCCAGCTACCGTTGACGAGTCGCCGTCTATTTCAGTCAAAGCATCGCATGGTGTTTGGCGCAAAGGATGGCCTGGAAAGGACACCCAACAGAAATTGGCTAAACTGAAGATTGTATTGTGTGTCCAGCCCAATGCACTCTCAGTTACACCGACCGATTTTTGTGGGAGGTCAGCTAGTATCTCGCAGGGGAATGCCGAAAGACTACATACAGCTATTGAAAACGGCTGGGTTGAGCTACGAGGCCCGCCTGTGGTTGATACTGTGCAAAATCTGGGTGACACCAGTGAAGATCAAACCGAGACACAAACCAACGAATCCAATCGATTACGCGTACCGGTTGGCGCCATGCCCCCTTCAGTTACTATCAAAGCTAAGAAAAAACGACAGCCGAAGGGCCCCAGTTCTAGGATATCGACATCGACTACTACCTCTCAAGAGAAGAATCCCTCCTCCAGCTCCAAATCCAACACAAAAGCGATCCAAAATAAAAAAACAAATGTCAAATCGAAATCTGATGCAAGGCAAGGGGTGGGGTCTAAGAAGAACAAAAAGCGAAAAACTCGGCTCTCTAATGACGACTCAGAGTCCGCGGTTAGTTCAGGCACGTCCGATGATGATGGGGATGTAGAGGAAGAGCTCATGCGAAACTACCAGGATGAGGACAGAGACGATGATCAAGACGACCAGGACGAACACGATGATCAAGACAACCAGGGCAGGGATTAACTTCATAATGCTTTTGCCTCACTTCCTTTCCTGTTTTCACATTTTTTCTTCCAGAATTTCTTTTTTTTCTTAGCGTTACACAACATATTTTATTCTATCTTTGTGTTTCTGCCCCTTTTTTATCTTCTTGCCAATAACATGCCCAAAGAAATGTACTTTTATCCACCCAACAAAATTGCCTGTGTGTCTAGTACTGGTAAAATAACCAAATGTTTTGAAATTTGTTGAAAAATTCGGGAAATCACAAACAAGGTATCTTTACAACAGAATCGAACAAGCTAAGTGTAAAACGTAATAGAGAAACTATGAAGTTACGGACACTGGTGGAGTGAGTTCCTGACTGGAGGTGCGAGGTCACCTCAATTCCACAAAGTTGTGTGGGCACCGGTGTGTATGTAAGTGAGTGCAGCTGTGTGTTGTGTTGTACAGCCGAACGTGTGGTGGTTGTGATATGAGCCGGGTCGGGGCGAGGTGGAGGTGTGATGTGAGGTCGGGCTGTAATGTCGGCACCGCGGATGTCGGGATGTACGGGTTCAAACAGGGGGGGGGTATGTCGGATGAGACTTGCAGGACTTAGGGATTTTTCGAGGGGGTGGACGGTTGGAGGTTCAGGATTGTCTGGAGATCCTGGATGGTCTGTGTGTTGGTGCGAGTGCTGTACTCTAGGCACCTTCGCATGCGCGTTTCGTGTCTGCGCTTAGGGTAGGGTGTAGTGTCTGCCACGGGTGATCGTGATGCGCCAATGCATCAACGTGGCATTGGTGTGGTTTCGTGTGTCAAAAGCTCTCACGGAGTACAATCGTGAATGTACAGATGCCATACACCCGTCCGAGCTTCGATCTGTCGCCATTCCGACCAAGGCGTGGCATAGTCGGGTTAAACGGTGGATCCGGCGTCGGTTCCATGGATGGAGTCGCATCCACCGATGCGATCTATCGAAAGTTCCCCCGCGCCGCCTAGTGAAGTAGTCAACAACCTTTCCATTCGGGCAGGTTCCGAACTTTAATGGTAAGGCTTCCTTTTCGCGCGCTGTGTATTACGTACTTCACATGGCCAAGCGGCGCTGGCTGGGCTGCCTGGCGAGCAGCCGTGTTCTTTCCACTCACTGTTTCGTCCACCGTGATTTTTTCTCTGAATGTTCAGACGAACCCTGGGTGGGTAGATGACCTACGTATTTACTGAATGTAGTTGATTGAAGGTTGAAGTCGCCGACCTTCATTCCCAGCCGTAGACCCCAAAATCTGATGCCAAGCGATCCTAAAGGTTTGGCTTCAAATTTCCAAGCTCCACATCTTGGCTCAAGATTGATTTAAATAGCTCCGGCCCGTCACCGATTTTTCGTATCCACATCCTCCCTGGCGAACTCGATTCCCTGTTTACTCCAGATGTACGCTTCAACGTCAAACTACAATCCGCCGGCGGATAGACCAAGGAGCAGTCATGAGAGACACTACGAGCTCCGAATTTTGCAGCAGCCTGTTCGGGCCAGAATGTGTGGTTTTGGTGATAAGGTCAGTCTTCCATCCTAACTAACTCTGCCGAACTTGAAAAAATCACTAGAAAAAGTATTGGGTCGCATTTTCCCCAGGCGCGATAACATCGCACCCCACCGGGCGATGTTATATCGCCTGGGGAAAATGCGACCCAATACTGTTCATTCAAGGTGAAAAGTGTTGGATCGCATGATCCATAGGCGCAATAACATCGCCTAGCGGGATGCGATGTTATCGCGCCTATGGATCATGGGATCCAACACTTTTTCTAGTGAATGCTTCAATTGCTCGACGATTTGAGAGGTCTCGCTAACCTAGCTCAAATTCACTTTAGGACCGGAGGTTATTGACTCCACCCGTTATTGTCGAGTTACTGGTGTATGATTCACATACGGGTATGCATATCAATGCCGAGTTCGTAAGAGATATTAACCTGACTGTTTCTGAGATTGAAGTTTTAGTACCCAGATAAAATGATAGGGATACGTATATATACATTATCCCCTTGCGTTCCTTCGCTGATTTTGTGACACGTGATTCCACACCTTTGAAAAAGCAACATTCTTATTCCGCACGTGTGTGGCTTCTGATCACTTACTTCTGGGATGTTTTTTTTTCTCACAGTGAAGTGGACACATCGTTCTTTGTTCTGAACGCAGACCTCTGGGACTCACGCGGTACTAATGAGCTGAACATTGTCATGCACCCCGTTTTCTGTAATCCGGAGTCTACGGCCAACTATCAATCATCGCGTGAAGATCAAGCACCAGTTCCGGGACCCTCCTCAAAATCAGCTATATCCAACATAATTCATCCCGGTGGAACCAGTTCAGGTTAGATGCTCCCTTCATTTTATCATCCCTGTTTTTTTCCCCAATTCGTAAGCAGTAGTGCAAAAGACTTCCCCATTTTAACACTACTTCATGATATGAGAATAACTGACGAACCTCTGTCACCTTACTTGTTCAATCAGGTGCAACTCCCCCATACTATCCACGTCCTGCACTAGACAGTTCTGCCAGACCAAACGGAGAAATGGCTTATACTCGCAACCTCATTGGCGCGCTGGCCCAAAGCGCATCCAAGCTCAAAGGGATGGATGGACAGCCTGGCATATTTTTCATATTTCATGATCTTTCGTGTGTCTTCGAGTTTCATTCACATTCTCAATTGTAATTCAAGACGCGCGCGCGGCTGATTTCATTTATGCATGCCGGCTTCAATTAGCGTTCGTACAGAGGGGATATTTTGTCTCAGGTTCACGTTTGTTGTCCTAGGAAAGTAAGTTTTTTTTGAACTTACCTTGTAAGAATGCCAATTGTTGACGATTTATATTGGAAAATCATCCGCAATTGAACGATTCAAGTCATATTCACAATAACGACCAACCAACCGATACCTTGGCAACAACCTTCAGCGAGCCTTTCCAAGTATATTCCGTCAAAAAATTGTGAGATTCTTGTTATTCATCCCACTTCAAGTTATCCAGCAAGGAGCTTGATGTGCTGACATTTTTTTTTGTCTTGATCTAAATGTGACCCAGTGCCCGGAGGGCGAGGTATGCTCAAAATCTCAGTTCTTTTTCTGATGACC